GAAAGAAAGTAGCTAATTAAGAGAGTAAATAGAAGGCATGTAGAGAGAGAACTAAGAAGAATAAAGTGTATAGACTAAAGAGTTTCGTGTACATAGATTTATTACAGAATCCCTCAAATTAATCCACCACCAGTAGAATCTCTTCGGAAACTCTAGGTTGAGGCTATTGAGGGGCTGGACCCCCATAGCTTTCATTATAGGCTGAGAAAGATATCAAATAATGAACTCAATTGAAGTAACCTCTAAAACATGAAATATCTGGGAATAAATGACACCAAGGAAGCTAGACATCTCATGGTGAATATTTTATAACACTGAGGAAAGAAATGTATAGACAGTGCAAGATGGAAACTATTTTGCATGCTTCTGGATTGATAAAATTAATATTGTTTTAAAAATACATGTCTATACCATGAACACCATTCTAATATTTGGCTCAATATTCATCAAATTCCCATCATAGTATAAATAAAAATCAGAACTATGAAAAAATATTATAAAATTCAAATTGAAAAACAGACTCTGGATGGATCAAGCAATGGAGAATAAAAATAACAAAGCTGGAGTTATAATAATTATGTTCCATTACACTCTAGTGCTATAGTTAGAGAAGACCATAATATACTGATACTACACTATTTCAATGGATAAGAAACCCCATATTTAGATTGCACAGCTATAGCCAACTATCTTTGACATAAGTTTAAAAAACATCAATGGAAATGACACAGCAGCTAAACAAGTACTTTTGGGACTCTGGGAATAAAGGATTAGTATCTCTAGAATGCAGAATCTGACCAAGAAAAAAATTAGCTCAATTTTGAAAAGATACAAAACTAAGAGTTCTCAGAAGATGAAACACACACGGCTGAGCAACACTTAAGAATATTCAACATCATGGCCACAGCAGTGGAAACCCATTAACTGTAGACTGGTGGCTGTGGAGCCGACATGGGACTGGACTAGACCCTCTGGACATGGAAGACAGTTGTTTGGCTCAAACTGTTTGAGGGGCACCCAGGCAAGGGGATCAGGATCTGTCCCTGGTGCATGGGTAAGCTTTGGGGAACTTGGTGCCTGTGGTGTGGCACCTTGCACAGCCTTAGTGCAGTAGGAAGGGGCTTGGACCTGCCTAGGTCCAGTGTGCTGGGCTCTGCTGAGTCCCCATGGGAGACCTCAATTTGGGGGATAGGGATGTGGGGTGGCTTGGGAGGAGGAGGTATCTGTGGATAGTAGGTGGAGTGAGTAGAAAATTTCTTAATAAAGAAAAATGAAAGAAAAAAAGCATGTTCAACATCTTTAGCCACCATGGGAGTGAAAATTAAAACTACTTTGAATATCAAGTAGGGAGGGGACTGGGAGGAAGGAGGAGTGAGAAATATGTGGAGAGATGTCTAAAATTAAAGGACACTTGATGAGTACTATGTAAACATAATACAGTGAGAGATTCATAAATTATATACATGTCTGAAGGGAATCTAAATGAATTCACTAAATAATAAGGGAGACAGAGCCCCAACTGGACATTTCATTACAAAATGAAGTTGGATCACAGATAATTAAGTTGTTGCCTAAAGGGATTCCCATGGGAGTCACCAAACAACCCAAGCTGTGGCCAGGATTATAGGTTGTCCTCTACAGACTGATGACAAGGACCTACTAATAACACCTTCATAACTTCACTTTTACAACAAATTGAACATGTAGAAGTTGAAATGGTGCCTTAATTGAGATTTCACTAAGCATTCTAGTGCCCTTGGTACTGAAATGTTGTCTGGCAATTGCCAACTGAACTGAAAATGTGAACACATCCAAAAACCCTTTGATCTACAATAATATCCTGCTTGCAAAATAGCTAGGAAAATAGTTGCACAAACTCTGTGAGAATAAGCAACAAATATCTGATTTGATTGAATAAATAACCACATACAATTGATCCAATCAGACACTGCTTGATAAACAAGAATCAGAGACTATATATCCCAGCTACCTACAGTAAAATCAAATGCTAGTGTTCTTTAAAAAAGCAATAAAATGTTTTGTAATTGCATTGTGTTATAATCAAGATCAATGCCTTGCTCAGTTATTGTCAGGGAATCATCATTCTGCAGCAGACAGGAACAAATAGCAAACAGAAATCAACAGCCACACATTATGGTGAGAGGAAGAAAACTAAGTTTAAAAGGCTTGCCTGCTTCACTTATCTCCCTACAAGCCACAGAAAATAGCATGGAAGCATATGTAGAAAGAGGATAAGAGGCAGAGGTAATGGAGGACTATTAAGGCCAATACATATGAGTCTATTTAAAGTATAGTGTGGATTTATTAAGATTTAAATTTAAAAATATACTCACTAATCCAAACACAAGTAAACAGCTGAAGTCATCTTCTGCTCTGTAAGTGAGGAAATGCACCTGGCCAATGGATAAAGCCAGTAAGAAGAAGAATGTGACCCCTGTCCCTTCCCTTTTAAGAGGTTACATATGATGGCAAGAACCACAGCCTCCTTTGAGCTGTATAGCCCAAGTTCATGGGTGGAACAAATACCATTACAGAGGACACCAAAATAAATGCCTTCTAAATAAACAGGATTGATAAATAAAAGAAAACACAGAACCTGAGGAAACAGGAACAGTACATACATGGGGTTTTCCCAATTGGGGTACCAGTCCTGAAAGTAGAAGTGATCACAAGCCTCATCCATAAAACCAGAAGCAATCTCCAATTGATAACCACCAGCTAATGAGAATTTACTTTCCTTCAAAGGAGTCTCAATAGGGAATCAAACTACTTTTAAGTGTAGACTGCATGCCCAGAAATAGATGGGAGCACAAAATTTATTCAACCTCATTTGTGGGGGTCATGTCCCATAGTATTGTGTAAGAGTTGCCCATTTTCCTCACTTTTGTAGGTTTTTCATGATATATATTACCACTCACTTTTTAACCTACACATTGCTTACATATATATTATGGGTTCAAGGTAAGAATTTTTGGGGTTTCCTGAATGTACAAACATGTGTGTTTAATTCTCAGGCCTTCTCTTGGGCTCTTTTCCTTATGTTTGCCGATTTTGACCAATTCCAAAGTGTTAGATTTTCTTTTCATAGTATGTTTTTTATTATTATCCCCTAGAAACCTTACTGTTTTCCAGTGGGAGATAGAAGAGGGGTGAATTCAGGTAGGAAGTGATGTGGGGAGGATCTTGGAGGAGCTTTAAGGAGCTGGGAGGGGAACCCATAATCAGGGGATATTATATGAAAGAAAATCTATTTCAATGAATGGGAAAGAAAGACAACCAGTGTTCCATTGTAGTGCTATGTAAACTTCAATTTAAAATTTTCATTTAATTCTATTATGTATATGTGTGCTTTTTGAGTGTGCTTTTATGTGCTCATCTGTGTCTAGGTGTACTTGGAAGACAGAAAGGCATCCATTGGCACTATAGGAAGATGCATGGATTTGATAGTAAACTCATCTCCCCCAAAAAAGCTATATATGATTTTAAATGCTGAGACAACTTACCATATTTCACAATATCCGTTCAATCTGTTTAACAAAACATCTTTCTTTCTCCTATGTTTTACTCCTCTAACTCCCAGGAGGCAACAGGATTCTCTTGTCACTTCCACAAGGGTTAAATTACTTTCATAATCTGAAAACATTCATTCCCTCTACTACAAAATTTTCTGTTTTCTCTTACATTAAAAGGCACTAAATAATTCATTTATTAATAGAATTACTTGGAGTTTATTTTAAATATTACTTTGCACTAGAGAAATGTAAGAACATATCCATTAAGCCCTAATATCCAACAACCAGGTCTTGTAAAATATGTGTCTGTGTGGAAGATTATAGACCAAAATATACAGAAAAGCAGTATACATGACATTTCTGGGCATTATCATTAGAAGAAACAATGAGAATCACGAGCTTATGCATACATCTTGTTATATAACAGATGTCTCTGTAAGAGCACTACAGTTTTCAGTAACCATTTATTAAATGAGTGTTCAGTAAGAGGTTTTCTCCCTTAACTTTTGAAGAGAATTTCTCTCTGGTCGGAACAAAATTATGTAGCACTTGGGGATAAAGATGCATCCCAGCAGACCTATACTTGAGGACAAAATGGAAAAGACCTCCACCACCACCATGACCTTGCCCTTGGTGCTATGGTAGACAGGGAGAAAGGTGACCCACACACTACAGAACAACAGCATGCTGAAGGTCAGCAACTTGGCTTCATTGAATGTGTCAGGGAGATTCCTGGCCAAGAAAGCCACAATGAAGCTCCCTAAGGCAAGGGAGCCATGGTATAACAACACACAGTAGAATGCAGTAACTGAGCCCTTGTTGCACACAATGATGATTTGGCCATGATCAGAGTGTGCATCAGTGTCAATAAAGGGAGGAGAAACTAGCAGCCATATTGTACAGAGAATAATTTGGATGAGGGTACATATGGCAATGATGTAGTTGGGTGCCCTTGAAATCATGAAGAACCTCATCCTTCTTCCGGGGGCTGTGACTATGAAAGCCAAAAGGACAGTCACTGTTTTGGCCAACACAGTGGAAATAGCCACAGTGAATACAATTCCAAATGTGATTTGTTGCAGGACGCAGGTAGCTGAGTTGGGCTGGCCAATGAAGAGCAAGGAGCACAAGAAACAAAACATGAGTGAGATGAGCAATATATAACTAAGATTCCGGTTATTGGCCTTCACAATGGGAGTGTCATGGTGCTTAACAAAGACCCCAAGAACAAGAATTGTTAATGCAGTGAAGCACAAGGCCATTGAGGCAAGAGCCATCCCCAAGGGATCTTTGTAGTTCAGAAAGATCACAGATTTGGGAATGCACTGGTTCTGCTCTCTGTTGGCATACTGGTCCTCTGGACACCTCACACATTTTTCCACATCTAGTGGAGAAAGAAATGTATGATTAATGCAGCTTTAGCCATTTATTGACTGAATATTTCAATTTAGTGTGTTGAAGAAGCATTGCACTATCTGCATTTGTTTCTGGGGATGGAGTTGAAAGACATTCATAATACTCATTCATTATCTTTATGGGAAAAGAAACTAAACAATAAGTATGTTATCTAATTTACTGTGGGTTGATGATGCCATTTGTTATGTTATCAGAAAGCACAGATATTTTCAGGACATGACTTAAACTGGGGATTTGACAAAGGTTAAAATCATTATCCGTTATTTTGCACAGGGTGTATTTTAAAGTCTCTAATGCCATGGTTGTAGTGCCTCCTGATGTCTTTCTGTCTATTTTATGAATGCTGTCCTTGTAATATTTGAAGATTGTTTCTTCTATTGGAACCCTTCCTGTGATATGTTATCTAGTTTGAATTTACTACCCCAAATCCAATGATATAAAAGAAATACCAAAACATAATCTCTAAGGACACTTAGAATTCACACGTTACATGCCAATACCAAGTTCTCAATAAAAAAGTAGATTGATTTGACCCAGAGAAAAATAGGCAGGGAATAGGAGACAAAAACAGGAGATAGAGAATGAAGGAGAAGATGAAAACAACAAGAGAGAGGGGAAGAGGTTGTTGGCCATAGAGGACAAAGAACTGCTCTGGATAGAGAGAATACAGATATGGCCTCTTAGAAAATGGTAGCCTATAAAGATGAAAGGGAAAACCCAGGTTAGAACAAAGTATTTAATTTTGATTGGACAGTTTAATTAGGACAGACACAACAGAGTTTTTGGAAACTGGACTCCAATACTTTGAATGCTGGACCTTGATAGTCAGTCTCAGGAGGAGGAAGTGGCCAAATAAGGGAACAGACATTGGTGGCTAGTTTTAAGAATGTAATAGCCTTAGATATCTATCATTAGAACCATGACCACAGTAGCTCTTATAAAGGGAAACATTTGATAGTGTGGCCTATAGTTCAAAGGCTCAGTCCATTATCATCATGGTGGAACGTGGTGCTATGCATGCAGACATAGTGCTGGAAAAGCAGCTGAATATTTTACATTCAAGGTTTCAAGTCTTTTTATCTAGAACAATGTATTTATGGTCACATGTAACTCAATACTTTGTTTAGGGGAATGGAAAGTTGTCTCACTTGTGAAGAGAATATACTGCATTCGCAGAAGAACTGAATTCAGTTTAAGGACCAATGTCGGGGTTCTCACAACTTTCTATAATGCTAACTACAGAAGCCTTGGATGCCTCTCACATGTACATGCAATTATGTACACAAAACCACCAATTTCACATATATGCACATAATTAAAGAAATGATAAAATATTTTCATTAACTTTTGTTGTATTTCTTGTTGTAAATAACCTTTATTCTTATGTTTCATATTTAAAACAATTTCATTACAGTTTGTTTAAGTAAATTGCAGTAGGTTGTATGTGCAAGTGCAAGGAGATCAGAACACAACTTCTAAGAGTTAGCAATAACTTTCTATTACATGGATCCTACGGATGAACTCATCATCAGCTTTAGTAGAAAGGAATTTAACTTTTGAACTGTTTTACTGGCCATAAATGTCCTTTAAGGACATTCATTATATAGGATGAAAGGCACCATGAGAGAAAAATCTATGTAACTGCCATTTTTTATGAAACCAACTCTAAATAAATAATCATTTGACTAACATTGGACTGAGGAGGATTGAACAACATTGGTATAACTGTAGCTAGTTGCTATCATACAAAACAATTGTATCTTCTATTTTTGAAATTTTTGAAACTGTGCTGAATATAAAAATATTGATTATAGTACTCCATATTTTCTACTTTATGTGGGAACAATTCTCCACACTCCTCTAGATTTCAAATCAAAATGTTACTTTGAAGGGGGGTCTCTTTATATTGCTTGAACTTCTTTGTATCATACGGAACAATTTCTTATAATTTCTACACTTCATTAATCTTGAGACAGAGGACTTATATTTGGTTTCTAGAACACACATAACAGAGTCCAATGGATCAGAAGCTCTAGTCTGTACTCCATTGATTCCCTGCATATACATGTGGTGACACATGTAAATTTATGTAGTGACACATACATACATGTAAATATAAAATATAAATATTATTCAAGATTCATGACTGGAATCTAATCTACATGTAGTTTCAAAGGAGATTAATCACTAGTAAAGACCTTGTACAGAATTCCCTCACATTGTAGTTTCATTATCAAAACTTTCTTTGAGAAAAGGCCACCAGCCATGTATTTTCAATGAGTCAAAGATGTATGTCATGGCATAACATGTTGCTTAAAGTGACATTATTAATGATCAGAGTTCTACAAAAACTAACTTGGGAAAGTGATATGGTTTATTTGTGCAGTGGCCTTTTAGAACCTTTGATCATCCCAGTGTGTTTGGGAGAGGATGATCTATGTGAAGGATTTATCTCAGAAGCAAACACTCACTTGTCTCATTAGAAACTTCATTTTCTGGACAGGGGATGCAATCAAAACAGCAGGCTGCAACTCCCTCCTGCAAGAATTTCCTCAATCCAGGACCACAATCAGCACTGCACAGAGAGGGTGGCATCTGAGGAAAACTATACATATGCTGATATCAGGAGTTTTACTTACTTCTTCCATAACAAAATTATGTTAGCATGTTGAAATATCAATAGGCTTATTTTATATATACCAAATGAGTGACCACATTAAAATTAGTATATTTTATAATGCCAAATAAGCAAATGAAAACAATCTGATGTAGGTTGAGTAGCTTCCCGATTTTAGAAATATAGGAAAAGGAATGGGTTGTTTTCTGTGGGCAAATACCATAGAGTGCAAAGTGATTTTTTTAGATAATTTCATCACCTTGACAGAAAGTACATAACGAAGTTAGAGGGAAGCTTAACTAAAATATTTCTCTCCATTAAACTAGCTGGCTGTTATATTATTTATGCATTTTATTAATGCATAATTGATGTAGAAGTGCCCATTCCACTGTGGACAGTGTTGTCCCTAGGCAGGGCTGTAGGAGAAGTCAACTGGAGCACAGCAGTAGACAATGTTCATTCAGGATCTGTGCTTTAGTTGAGGGATCCAGATCCCTGCTTTGCCCTCCCTTTACTGTAACCCATGAGCCTAACTTCCTCCTCATTTTACTTATGGTCAGTGTTTAGTCACAGCAACACTGCAACAAGCTAGGATAAATGGATATCGGAAACATGGGAAATATGTCTTCAAACCTCTGACAGCAAATGTGAACTCCAATAAATAGCACTGGAAAGCATGACAAACAGAGTGTAAAGAGAAAAACAGCTAAGTAGGCAGAGCCTGGTGTATTTCTGGTGACAAAGTGTTGAAGTAATATGCATTGAACTGAAAGGTAGAATGTTTCCTGAGGTGAAAGGGCCTTATAATGCCTGCAAATATTTGGGGAACTGGAACAATAGTAAGAATGTTTAAAGTTAATTATAGGGTTTCTTAAAGCTTAAAATATAAAAATTTTACGTGATCAAAATCCTGATGATGGGGGTCTATATACTGTTTAACACAGCTGCTGATGGTCTGGTGCTCACTTTAGGTTCTTTGACGAGGATTGAATTCTGTGTCAGAACCACAGTGTCTCCTATGCATTGGCTCTTTCATGTTCTCCACAATGTGATTAACTACAAATATTCCTTTTTGTTGTGGTTTTCTTTAAACAGGGTTTCACAATGTATTGTTGGTGTATCTCAACTAACTATATATAGTAGGTTAACTTAGATCACATAGAGATCCGCCTCTCCTGCCTCCAGAATGCTGGAATTAAAGGTGTTTGCAACCAGTGGGCACATTTCTTCCCTTATTTCTGTATTTCATGTTTACCATTTCTTTTTGTACTTGCTATGATAGTAAATACTATTTTGAAGATGAATGGAGAAAATATATCTGCTCATCCAATTTATTTCTTATTCTTCATTAAATTATTTATTTTACTTGCCAACCACAGTTTTCCCTCCCTCCTCTTATCCAGTACCCTCTCCAACATTCCTCTCTACTACAACACCCACTCCTCAGAAAGGGTAAGACCTTCCATAGGAGTCAACATAGCATGGCATACTAAGTTGAGGAAGGACCAAGCTCCTCCCTCCTGCATCAAGCTGTGTGATAAATCCCACCATAGGGAATAGGTTCCAAAAAGACAGCTCCTGTTCCAGTGACAAATCTTAGTCCCACTGTTAGGGGCTACAAACAGACCAAGCTACACATTTATCACCCACATGCAGGGTTCTTAATTAGGTCCCATGCAGGCTTTCTACCTGTTGGTCTATACTGACTGAGTTCCCAAAGGTCAGGTGTCTCTGTGTGTTGCCTTGTCATGATCTAGACCCCACTTGCTCATATAATCCCTCCTCCCTCCCTCTATTCAACTGGATGCCCAGAGCATGGCCTAGTGCTTGGCTATGCATCTCTTCATCTGCTTCCAGGGTTACTGGATGAAGTTCCTATGAAACAATTAGGGAACTCACCTTTATGATTACTGGAGAAGGCTAGTTCAGGCACCCTCTCTAGGAATCTTAGCAGGGTCATTCCTGTGGAATCCAAGGATTTTTGCTGGTACCAGATTTCTCCCTTACTCCATAATGCCATAATTACCCCCTCTATCAAGATATTTCTTTCATTGCTCCCCCTCTCCATCCCTCCCCCAACTGGGAGACACCAATCCTTCATGTCCTCATCACTCAGTCTATTCAGAAGATTCCAGCAATTTCCGTTTCTTAGGGTGATCCACATGTCCCTTTAGTGTCCTCCTTATGAACTAGCTCCTCTGGGGCTGTGGAGTGTAGACTGGTTTTCATTTGCTTTCTATCTTATGTCCAGTTTATAAGTGAGCACATACCATGTTTCTGTATCTGGGTTTTAGTTAACTCACTCAGGATGATGGCCTTCATCCAAAGAATGGATAAAGAAAATGTGGTACATTTACACAATTGAGTATTACTCAGCAGCAAAAAAAAAAATGACATCATGAAATTTAAAGGCAAGTGAATAGAACTAGAAAAAAATCATCACTGTCAAATTTTTGCTCATTTCTTTTGAGGAAGGGTCTCTATATGCAACCCTAGCTCACTTGGACTCACTATGTTTATCACACTGGCCATAAACTAGGAAGGTTTTGCCTCCCTCTGATCCAAGAGTTTGATTACAGATATGTAGCACCATATACACATGGGCTCACTGGGACTTTAATGGAAATTCTTTGAGTTTCTCTTCCTTCAGTACAATGTTGTCAATAAGATTGCCATAGAAAAAAGTTTTAATGGGATCAGGCTGGGAAAAATTATTAATTAATAAAAAAGAAAACTTTTATAAGTCAAGATGTGTTCCCTCTGTTGTGTTGGGTTTTTTGGTTTTCTTTTACTTTAAAACCTTAATGGATTCTGGACTTTGTTAAGAGCACATTCTTCACATATTTGGATAATCATATAGTCCTATGCTTGAATCTATTTATGTGCCCCATTTACTTAACGGACCTGCATATGCTGAACCATCCTTGTATCCCTGGAATGAAGGTATGTTTGTCACAGGAACAGAACTTTCTGTTGTGTTGTTGATTTATATTAGTCAGTGTTTATTTGGGAATGTTTCTACCATGACCATCAAACTGTTTAATCTCTCATTTACTTTATTATGTTCCACTTCTTCAAAATTCTTTCCCTCCATATTTACTGAAGTGATCTCTCTACATTTGTAAGTGAGATTTGTTTTTAGATGAACAAATGAATGTTGGTTTTACAAAATAATCTTGTTGTTTTTGTATTATGATTAGAGAATGTGAAGATTGACATGGAATTGTTATAATTATTTGCTAATTATTGTCCATTTTTGTTATTGTAATATTTGATACAGTATATAACACTTGTTTTTCTAACTGATATTTAATACTCGCTGTCTTTCTCTTCTTTGACCACTCATATTTATCTTACTTTTCAGTGTGTAAGAGCTCTTCAGGTGTCTTCCATAGAAATGTTAGAGTGGTTATGAATTCCTATAGCTCATATACATCACTGAACATTGGTCTGTCTGGGTATTTGTTAGGGTCCTTAAAGAACTTGCAGAATGAATCTCTCTCTCTCTCTCTGTCTCCCACACTCTGTTTCTCTGACTTTCTGTCTCATACATTTGTATATATGGATTCACACAATTTATTACAATGTCTTCTAGGATGCGGTCTACTAATCTAGCAATCACTAGGTATAAATGGCAATCCAAAAATGTAGAATCATCTATGAATTTCTCTCTCATATATTTGTATATATGGATTCACACAATTATTAGAATGTGTTCTAGGATGCAATCTATTAATCTAGCAATCACTAGGTATAAGTGGCAATCCAAAAAAGTAGAATCTTCTCATTCTATGATGTGAAATGTGGCAGCTGATCTTCAGAACACACTTAAATACCTTAGATGTAGGTTCTAATGCCAGTGAAGAAATGGACTTGCTAGCAAGGTGAGAAGAAGCAGACAAAGTGCACAAGTTTTCTTTTTCAATGTCCTATATAGGCTTCCAGCACAGAGGAGGATTTTCAAAATCAAATGATGTAATTCAAAGTTGTGTATTCCCAGCTTAAGATCCAGATAAAAGATGTGTCTTTTCCCAGGTTAAAAGATGTCAATTAAAGGCATGACTTCCTTTTTTATCTTTCCTTCTCTTTTGGGGGGTTTTGTTTTAGAGAAATGGTTCCACTTTGTAGCCCTGCCTGTCCTGGAATTTCCTCTGTAGAAGAGGCTGGCCTAGAACACAAAGATCCCTCTGCCTCTGCCTCTCAAGTGCTCAGATTAAAGGCATGTACCACCATCACATGTTATAAGGCATATCTCCCTATCTCAAAGATCTGGTAACAAATGGATCTTCTTACACCAAGTTAATGAAAATCTCTCTCAAATGTGCCTTCCATTTTGGGGTTTTGATAAATTCCAGATGTACTCAAGTTTATATCCATGAAGAGTCCTTACAGCTTCCTTTGACTATAAATAACTTTGTTGGGTACAGTAACTGGGTTTGACAGTTATATCTCTAACTGCATGCATTGCATCACTGTTACTCTCCCCATTTAAGAGAGTTCATGAAGGAATTTGCTGTTATTAAGAAGGAGCCTTTCTACGAAATGGGTTTTTCTCTCTCTGCAGCCTTCATTTTGTTTTCTTTATATGTATAAATCAAGCTTTTAGTAAGATATGTGACAGGAAGGTTCTTTTCAGATATTAAATGTCCTGTCCCAAGATGCCCACATGACTCCCTATATTTTGGAAATTTATCATTATATTTTACTGGATATACTGTTGGTGCCCTGGTGAGTCCTTCTTCTCTCTTCTGTCAATTTTTTATAATCTGACTGTTTAATGGTATCACCTTGTCCCAATATATATTTCATTTTACCTTATTTTTATTTTTGTCATAATTTCAGTTTTCTAATTCTTCTGCCTTGTCTTCAAGGCTGCCAACTTTTCTTCAACTTTAAATATTCCTTTAGAGAAAAGTGTTACTGAGATATTTTGGATTTATTTTATTTCCTTTGCAGTTTTTACTTTGACTTTTTCATAATTTTGTACATTTAGGAATGCATCTGTCACATGTTCCTTCAGTTCCTTATTGCATGCAAGTTTTTGTGATCTCATTGCATTGTCCTGAAGGTGATTTGTGTCCTGTTTGACATTCTGGAACACTGTTATAATCATTCTTTGACTTCTCTTTTCAGTATGTCATTGAATATATTTATATTTAAGGCTATGACTGCAACATTTGGTGTTGCATTGATAGGATGACTTTTTATTTTTATTCCTGTTTCTGCATTGAAATTTTCCTAACTGGGAGTAGAGTAATGCTTGTATTATTCTTAATTTTGTGCATTCTTCCAGTGGATTTTTTCACAATGCTCAAGTGAGGCTTGGTTAGAGCACACTTGAAATTGTATTGCTGCTCTCTGAATGGATATGTAGTTCAGTAGCTGTACCTTCAGCTCATATGACCTTTACCCTGATAACAACTCTCCTTGTCATTCTAAAAACAATAATTTTCATAGATTGTATTCTATCTGTTCTACCTGAGGTATAACTTTAGATCAAACTTGAAGACTTTTCTGAAGTTACAACCTTTAAATTACAACCTATTTTATTGTCAGAAAGTTTCAGTTGGACACCTTAAAACCACCCAGATCAGAATTCATTCCTATAATATACCTTAGCTTCATAGTAGTACACATCATTTATAAATTTCCAAAGCCATTTCTTTTACTACCAATACCTCCTACCAACACAGATCATGAAAACAGTCATCATACTCTTGTTTGTTTGAGAGAACTATGAAAGAACTAATGGGACCAATAAATGTTCCTCAATTGAGCAATTTTTTTTACAGAACATGCTTCAAGGCTGGAGAATTGGCTCAACTGTCTATAAAAATTACTGCTCATATACAGGATTTAAGTTTGACTTTCAGCATCCACTGTGAGATACTAAGATGTCTTTCCACATCCCAGAGATACAAGTCATTTTTGGCATCTATATGCACTACACATACCAGGGTTGCACAAACATAGTTGCAGATAAGAACCCATACACATTTAAAAGAAAAAAAAACAAAATTATAATTCATAGGGTATCCAAATGGGCCATGACAACATTATCTTAATATTTGGTTAGAGATGTTGGCAATTTAGGACCTGTTGGTAAAAAGGCTTAATACAAATTATATAATAATAATTAACTTTTTGCATGTGTTTACTTTATTCCTCATTACATTTAGCCTCAGTCATTCAGCATATATGTCAAAGGTTCATCAGTAAAAAGGACAATCACTGTGTAGTAATCAGAATGGTATCAAAAGGATATTGCTTACTTTACTGGAAATAATATAGTACAGTGATAACTACTAATTTTCTTTTTGTAATAAAAACCAGAAACATGTTCTGGAATTATAAAGAAAATCACTGTGTGCATGGTATGCATGTCAGAGACCCTTGAAGTATTAACAAAATATCACATCAAAAACTGAAAAGAAGAAACAAACTAGGAGGCTATAAAATGCTTCTTAATGGAGACAGTCAATTTCATTTCAACAGTTAAAAGGCAGCAAAATAGACCCAATTGACAGTGTTACTGCTATGTGACAGAAATGATTACAGTTAGGTCAGACCCACCTGTCTACTTCCTGTGGACCACTCTATCACATCATCATATAAATGGAGCTGATGACCATTTGGAAAATATGGGCTAAACTCTCCTATCTTCACCTTAAACCTAAATCTATTTGGGAAATTCCAAATCTGGAAAATGTCATACTCTGCCTTCTGGTTTTCTCTCTGGTTCATATTCACTTTTTCTCCAACAGGATTAGTGAAGTGAGTCTTCCTCAGAAAGGAGTGCAGCTGAAAGACAGGCAGCATTCTATATTGTGTGTGCCCTTCCTTGATGTCAGAAAACATATGCTGATTTCTTCTTAAAAGCAATGTTAATGAAGTTGTCCAGGAGAGAAATAAAATAAAAGTAAATGGATAAATAAAAGTATCATGACATTCCTAGATTTTAAATTCTTTCAGAGGAAACTGCCAAACAGAAACACAGACATATATGCTGACACAAAAAAATTGGTGAGAAAAATGCACACATACAGAGTGAGAGAGACATAAACACACACACAGAGTGAGTGTCTCTCTTACATCCATACAAACATACATAATACAGATACATACAATATGCACACACATACATATGTCAGACCCACACATCAAAATACAATCAGAAACAGACAGCCATAATAACCCAAACAGACACACAGAAACAGAAACCTGAAAAACACAGAGGCTCACACATAAGTGCACATTTATAGACAAATATACACAGGGAGACATACACATATTGAAACCCCTACAAAGAAAAACATTGACATATACAAATTTATGCTCACAATCAAAGACAGATTAACAGACACACACATAGACAGACACAGAAACACAGATATTGATATGTGCAAGAACATACACAAAACACACAGTACTGATATGTTGACACATATACTGAAAAACACACAGGAAGATATACACAGAAAGAAACACACATACACAAAGGCATTGACAGAAGAAAAATTTAAGCTCAGTTCCACAGATAGATATGCAGATAGATAGAAACACAATATACACAGAAACCCAGATAAATACAGATACACAGAAAATAAGAACATCCTCCCATACACAGTGAGAACCAATCATTCTCACACATGGACACATGTATGTTCTGAAATAACACCACCACTGTTTGCAGTGTAATTATTCACAGAGTGCCAAAGGAGATTCTTCAAGCCTACAGTAGGATAAAATCAGAACATTTCTGAAAACCATCTCAATACACTGATTACCATATATTGACAATTGATGAACAAGGGTTCATCTTCTCATCATGGGGAGGATTAATGAGGAAGGACCATTATGTTTCCAGTATTAGAAGAGGTGAAATGATATTCAGGTGCTCTGTAACATATTCACTGGTATTCCTTGATAAATTGTGTCCTCCACTCCATTGCTTTTGCATAAAGATTTATATCAGACTCTGGCTTTAAGTCCATACAAGGAAAAATATTCAGAAATATTTCTATTTGATTAATATTTGCTAATCCATTAAATCAGGGCATCTGAAAGACTCTTAAAGGCTATGGTATTGATAAGATATAATTTCATCTAATAGAAGAAACACTACCTTCAAGCAGTTACCACCGTGTACTTTCCCATTATCCACATGTTGAAGAAGCATCACATGGACAGCATGAGCCACAGTATATACAGCGTTATATATGTCATAACTTTCATCACCAAAGGCCATGTCAAAAGTCTGTCCCATTAGCCATTGTAATGAGGCATTGAATGAACAATTCTTCAGTATCTTACACTTGGAAGCTGAGACTTTACAGTTAAAGTTCATCCATCCCAGCCTTGCAAGGTATTCATCTGTGTATTTCAGAGGGTTCAATGTCTGGACAAAAGTTTTAAAACCAGAAATCTCAGAATGATGCTGTGCAAAAGCTAGTGTCCCTTGGGATGAGCCAACTGTGGAGTCTCTCTTACTTGTAGTGATGTCCCACTGTGAGGTAGTCACCCATATTCTCTGTATACCTAGTGATTCCCACATTCTAAAGCTCACAGCTAGAGTACTGTCTTTGTCACCATAAATGATAACTACTTTTGCAGATGATGTTATGATTTGGTTATAATACACTTCAGTTCTTGACATGTATAAATTCATATTGACTGGGATTATGCTCACAAAAGCAAAGCAGACTGAATTTCTTTCAATCTCTGTTCTCAAATATGAGAGAAATTGGGTACCCTGATCACTGTCAGAGATGACTAATCCAATCCAGTTCCAGTTGAAGTGAAGCATCAAAGAGACCATTGCCAGGGGTAGAGCTGTGTCCTTGGGGGCCATCTGATACAGATAGGGAAATTTTTCATGATCAGTCAGGATAGGATGGAAAGGTCCATAGGTAAGCTGAAGGATCTAGGACACAGGGAGCAACATGAGGTAATATGCACTTCTAAGAACTTGGAAACACACATTTTAGCAAAGAATTCTATAAAAAAAAAAACCTCCTACCTATTATTTTTTCCCTTATCTCAACTTTAAAAAAGAAAAGGAAGCTGAATTAAGTCTCTGGATAGTATCTTGAACCACACTTTCACATAATTCCACACACTCTTCTTTGCATCTTGGCATTGTACCAACAGAGTCACAATTTCTTGCAAACCCACACCACAAAAATCTCACCTGTTGAGATCTGTAGGGGTCCAGCAATGTCCCAATCATCGCAGATGTTTTCCAATTTGGTCCTGTCAGCATCATTATACACATAATCTCTTCATTACACTCATAATTAGGGGGAGCATATTGTTTTTCTTCAGATAAAGGCATGAAACTGTTTAATTTTGACATATTCTTACAACCACCTTCGGGCCACTGAAATACTAATGACATATTTGGCAAAAGATCAGGGTTCTTATTGACTTCATCCATGGAAAAAGTTAAGGCCAATGGAAACTGGTTGTTTTCAGTTGATGTTCTGTAAGAAGGTATAATATTTATTATGAAAAGAGATCTAAAGATAATCCTTTGTGGTAAATAGAAGGAACATCCTGAACTGTATAGTATTCCCAACCATCCCCAAATAATGAAACAATTGTCCTGTGCTGTGAAGGTGGAATGGCATAATATGCTGCATGTGGTGATATTTTATTGTGCTGAAATGTGGTAATATTTTATTTGTATGTTAATAAATAAAGTTTGCTTGCAGATCAGAGGAAATAGCAAGCCATTTTAAGTAAACACAAAAGTCAGGCAGTGGTAGCACATGCCTTAATCTGATCACTTGGCAGGCAGGGTCTCTCTGTGTTCACAGGCCATAATAGGGAACAGAGCCAAACATGGTGACACTTGCCTTTAATCCCAGTCCCAACCACACAGACTTGGAGGTCTGAACAGACAGGCAGTGACTAGGAAGCGACATAACTGGGCTAAGAGCCAATGAGATGGCAGAACAGCAAGGCAATAAAGGCACAGTTAGACAGGAAGTAGCACACACTTTGGAAGCTGTGATATGGTGAAGTAAGCTTAGCTTGTGGCCCTTTCTATTTCCCTGATCTCTAAGGCATTCACACTATATTTGGCTCCGCATTTTGTATTTAATAAGACTGCTTGGAATTCAGCTACATTTGATGACCAACTGTGGGTCAGGAATTCAAAAAACAGCAACTTGGCTGTGACCTTGCAGGTCCAGGCTTGGCCAGATCATGGGGACAGAGCTGCAAGAGGACAGAGTTGGAAGAGGCTAGACTGCTTGTGTGGAGAAGCTATTTAGGATATAAAATAGGTCTACAAAAATTAAGATCACAAAAGGTGCAAATTAGGAGAGATCGGTTGTAGACTCTTAATGAATTTCAAAGATTATTTGGAAATATTTCTCATCTACGAACTATTGTTGGGGTAAAAAATGATGAACTGAATAATTTGTTCAAAACATTAGAAGGTGACAAGGACTTAAGTAGTCCAAGAGAATTATCAGCTGAATCTGACAAAGAGTTGGCCTTGCTGGAAAAGAAAGTACAGGAAGGACATGTGAGTCTTGTGGATCCAAAGCTCTATTGCATTTTAGTGATTTTACTCTCTAAGCACTCTCCTACAGGAATTTTAATGCTGAGGAAAGATATATTGGAATGGATATTTCTACCAAATATGCCGAGTAAAAATTTAAAAAATTATGTGGAAAGATCTCTGACTTGAGTTTAAAAGGAAAATTGAGACTTCATCAATTAGAAGGAATAGTCCCACCAAAAATAGTCTTAATTTTAACTAAGGATAACATTGACAAATCATGAGCAGAAAGTGAACCTTAGTAAAGAGCTTGCAATATTTTTTTGGGAGAGATTAACATTAAATATCTCAATAATGATAGATTTCAACTTATAAAGAGAGCTGATTGGATTTTGTCTCAAATTGTAAGGGAAACACCCATATATGGAGCTAGTACATTTTATACAGATGCAAACAAACAAGAAAGCCTCACTTTTCAAAGAATGCAAACCTATCATATACAGTCCACACATTCTTCCTTTACTAAAGAGGGAGTAAAGAACAGGACTTTGAAATTAAAGGCCAGGGGTTATGAATGTATGTAAGTGAGGTGTGGAGAAACAGGAACACTTAAGATGTTCACAAGGGTCAGGTCTCCTACTTCCACTTTTGAAGCATCTTTGGAAGGCATAATATGATCACATGCAGAGCATCTAACATAGTAACTGCATATCTATGTGAAAGCTATCTGAGACTAGGTATGCCACAAATATTAGTTGCCCTAGCACATGCATTAAGACCTATACATTAATGGAAGAACCATCAGCTGACTCTACTCTATGGCTATTACTTATACCCACTTAGGATGATACTAATTGATATAGAATGTGGTTTCAATTGATTAGTCACCACCTGCTCCTGTGCTATAGAAACTATGAAGAGAAGGGTTGTATG